AGCTTTCCCATCTGGAGACCACAGGAGGACCTAAGGCGCTTCACTGACCTTCTATACACAAACACCCGCTTATTCACTGAGCCGGGGGCAGCAGCCTCTCAGGACATCACCTTTAAAGGGCACCATGATGGAGCCAGGCCTTTTAAAGCTGCTCAGCTCCTTTTGCTCACCATACGCGTGTTCTGGACGAAAGCACAAATGATTCATGGTTCCAGGCTGGTGACATTGGGGGAGTGCCAGAAATAGGAAGTGAGTTGTTCTGGGTGCCAGCACAGCTCTAGCCAGTACGGGCTGAGTCACAGTAAACTGCTATTAAGACCCATAAAGTAATGCAGTCAAGCCCAGTTTTCTGACCGTTGAACCTGTTTTCATAGACTGGAATAATCTATAATAATAAATAGACAGAAAAAGAACTGCGGCACAAATAAATGTATGTAATAAACCTGTGTGACCATGACATAGTAATGTTTATTGCAAAACCCTGCACTGTCAGCAGCATTCAAACAGGTCTGTCCCGTCTTCTGCAGTATTCTAAAATACATAATGCACCATAAAAGCTCAGAGCTTTCACATTCATTTGTGGTTTGCAAATGTGATGTCTGGGCTAAATGTGATAATTGGGCTAGAGCTGGTAACAACACAGTTAAGGTTGTTTGTTATTTACTAAACACTGTATTAACAGTTCTGTTATGCTGTAAAGGTATTTGGCGAGTTACATAAGACATTGTAAGAAAAGGTCCAGACAGACAATAGTTTTTATGTGGGGTAGGTTGGTAAGATCATTGGCTAGGAGGCTTTGTTGAAGGAATGATGGTTTAGCACACATGGAGGGACTATTCCAAGCAGGTAGGTGTACATGAGAGAAGGCACAAAGCTGAGAGTGCATGGAGGTAAAGAGAGCAGGAAGCATAGGAGAAGGGGTAGGACAGTTCTGGATGCTCAGCATTTACATAATTGGGGTTTTAAAACAGAAGGAGAGGGAGAGAAAGTGAGGGAATTTGTGATAGTCACAGTGGCAGGCACAGGACTGATGTAGGAACTAAAGTGAGAAACTCACAAGACACAAATAACCCCTGAATTGTGGTGGTTTGTGATTGTGTTGCAGGAGTGGGGATGTAATAATGTAGTCGATTAACCAATAAGCAAAAACGTATTGGTTAATGCTATAGACTACATGCATTCCTCCCTCCCGCCCCTGCCAGAAAACTTTTTAGCATGCTGGCCAGCAGCCCAGCTCAATCCTGGCTTGCACCGGGTCTGAGACCTACCTCCACTGTGACTCTGCGTTTAAAGTGTATTAGGAGCCAGGCGGGCAGGTAGCCTGGCTAAGTTCCAGATAGCGTTGCGTCTGGGAGCTCAGATCTCCCCTCCCTTCAGACAGAAGCTGCTGCCTTTGTATCAGAGGCAGCAGTGCAGGGCAACAGGCAGCAGGTCTGCGAGGGGAACTGGTTCTCCTCACAGATTAGCTCCTGCCTGGCACCCCGCGCTGCTGCCTCTCTGATACAGAGGCAGCAGTGTGGGGTTGCAGTGGGCTCCTTGGGAGTGGGGCTGGTGCACACTGGCTGCCGGATCCACCCCCAGGGACTATAGAAAATTCAAGTAAACGAAAAGAATTCATGAGGTTAATCGACTCTTCAGTTAACTGGTATTTAACATCCCTATGCAGGAGAAGTGTCTGCACTGGTCCTAGTGGCTATTCTGTGGGGAGGGACAAACCCATTTTTGAAGACGGGGACAGAGGGACTGGAGAAGGTGAAGAAAGGGAACCGGGTGCCGCAGCTGCTTGCAGAGATGAAATTCCTGTGCCTCAATTACAAGGTATTAAAACCTCCAAACCATTTCAAGTGGTGCCAAGGGGGGAGGTATCCTGGATGGAGATAATATTGAATGTATGTACCTTAATCTGGCTTTAACATTACTTTTCTTGATCATTTAATTATATCTGTTCTGGACTTGACATTTTTTACTGGAAATTTTATCCTTTGTGATATTCCAGTTAGCTTGCATATGATCCCACTTTTCCCTTGAAGATTTCAAAGCCCTTTACACAGTTAATTAAGCCTCATATAATTACTGTAAGTTACGTGTTGTCTCTCTTTTACTGACTAGGAAACAGAAGTTATGTGACCGACTCAAATTCACATAAGGAGTCAGTGGCACAACCACAAACAGATCCCTATGATTTAACTGCTAGACCACACTTCCTTGTAGATTGAGAAATAGAATTAATAAAGCCTGGCTCCTAATCCCCCACTCTAACAACTAGCTTCACTGCCTCAAATAGCATTCATGATGTGTATATGGTCATTTCATATGCAGTGACTGAATATGTTATGTTTTCCTCCTAGTACATGGTGCCATTTCTGTTTAATCAATGTGGATCAATAATCTATTATCTCACGTTAGCATCCACAGGTTAGTCCTTGCTATTATGTTTCAATGTAGTGAGATAGCTAGGGTTAGATAGACCATGTCATCCTTGAAGAGTTCTGTGGCCCATCTGAGAAGTCAATTTCACATCTCTTAGGCTGAATAGAATTTGATTATGATTCTTCAATTTTGACAGATGACATCAACATTTATTATTAAACTTTTTTTGTATTTTGATCCATTTACATTTTTAAATCACAGGGATTTATGAAGGGGCGTTAGACAAATATTTTAATGACAGCTATTGAGATGCAAAATATTAAATCTTTGTAATCACAAACAAATAATGATATCACATCAAAACATATAAAGTAAGTTTCTTTAAAATATATTAAGTTCTCAAGCAGCATTTTTTTTACCTTGCCTATCTGTAAATTTGATTTTTTTTATAGTGAAATCAACACTTATTACTAAAAATCGAATCCTTCCAAGCCTATATATACGCTCAGTAGCAGCAGTTTTGCATTAGTGAGGGGAAAGTGATTTTTACAAAATTTAGTTTTTAAACTGTGTTCATAGAAAAAAAAAATCGGACTGTATCTCCATGTCCTTGTTCAATTTCAGACCTGTCCCTGGCGGTGCCCCTCTGTAACTCTCTGGCTTTGATAGTCACGGTACTAACTGGGAAGATGCTTGGAGAAGATATTGGTGGTAAAAGTATGTCATGTTTCAGTGCATTACTTTTATATATATCTTCTGCACACACAGCCTGGTATTCAGCACCATACCATGAACATCTGTCTAGGTTATCATGGTTGATATGCTCTTTAGCTAGATCATGTAATTCTAGAGGCAAGGTATATGGTTAGTTAAGTAGTTCACCTTATCAGAGGTGGGGATGGATTTAGTGAGGACCCCTCCCCTATATAGGTAGAAAATGGTGATCTGGCTAATCCTACCTTCTCATGGATGAATATAAGCTAGCACTAATTGGTGTGTGATCACCAGTTCCTGTTGTGTCTCTGATGGATTTGAAACTAGGTTCTGGACAATTCTACTCTACTAGTAGCAACTTAGTGTAAAAGTAATAAGGAGCACCTCTATGGGTAAGCTCTGGCAGACAAGAATGTTACCCTATGAATGCTTTAGGGAGAGGGAAGAAACTAAGCAAAGTGAAAGTGTGAAGATATCGTGTTCCAATAAGAGCATATTCAGCTTTTGAGGATTATCACTGAGAGAGGGTGAGACTTGTAGATATAGAGCCATGCTGTACAGTTGACATCAATAGGAGAGAAGGATACTCAGACCTCCATATGAGAAAGATGTTCTGTTAACACCTAAAATATGGATGAAGCTTGTTCTTCCTCTCCCTAGTCCACAGTGTAACACTAGATAATGCCATAAAATGGCTGTAACTCATTGGGATGAGGTCCAAATTCTTAAAGCCTGTACTAATCACTACCCTTATATTTAAACACAGCTGCTATTAGCACAGTGTTAATAAGGTTTCCCTTCTACAGCAGATAAGGACAGTTTTCCTACGACTATGCTCTACTATACTCACACACTATGGCTGTGTCTAGACTGGCAAGTTTTTCCGCAAAAGCAGCTGCTTTTGTGGAATAACTTCCCAGCTGTCTACACTGGCCGCTTGAATTTCTGCAAGAACACTGACTTCCTACTATCTGAAATCAGTGCTTCTTGCAGAAATACTATGCTGCTCCCGTTTGGGCAAAGAGCCAGCTTTTGCACAAAAGGGCCAGTGTAGACAGCTCAGATTTGTTTTGCGCAAAAAGCCCTGATTGCAAAAATGGCGATCAGGGCTTTTTTGCGGAAAAGAGCGTCTAGATTGGCATGGATGCTTTTCCGCAAAAAGTGCTTTTGTGGAAAAGCATCCGTGCCAATCTAGACGCTCTTTTCCGCAAATGCTTTTAACGGAAAACTTTTCCGTTAAAAGCATTTGCGGAAAATCATGCCAGTCTAGACGTAGCCTATGCTGTTTGTAGAACAGTTTTATAATATAGTTAATTGACAAAAAAGTCTCTGCACAGATGTGAGGGAAAGGGTCTTAGAACCTGCCATTAACAGTGCTACTGAAATTCAGCTGGAACAAGCATGTTTCTGATCCTCACGGTCTTGCTACTCAGACTGCACCATCACTAGAGCATTTGAACAGAGGACAAGGCCTAACACATTAGTGGTCAGTGCTCACAGTTCCTCTCATTTTTGCATGTCCTCTCTCCTTAGGAGCTGTGGTAGGAATGCTGCTTACTGCCCTGGGAGTTGCTCTGTGCATAGCTGGTTCTATGAATGAGCAGGAGTGAGCGACAGTGAAAGAAGAAAGGATTGTGTGGAAGGGAATGCCCTTGTTCGGGGATGGGTACCCCTGCCTCTCTGGCTCCAAATCAGTATCCAGTGGCATGGTCTAAATCCAAGGCAATGTGGAAGGGTGAATTTTGATATCTAAGGAAGGAGGTTTCTGAAAACAGTAGTTGGAATCTTTGCCTTTCCAAAGCTGAGGTCTTGCTCTGTTGGGGCACTAGGCCTCGAATATTGGCATTTGAGCCCCCACTACTTATTTTAGATACAGAACCCCCTGCAAAGAAAACTACCCTGATCTTCCTCTGCCCTCCTTCTGTGTCTCCCAAGGTTTCACGCTGCCGGAGACCATGGTGCAATCTACTTGTATTGTACCTCCCAGTTCTTGACACATTGACATCCCCAACCACACAGCGAGGGATTTGGAATCAGTTTACTGTGTACAAAAAAAGTCAGCAACTGTGTTGCAGAGAAGAGTCCTCTCCTTGCTCAACAGTACATTTTAAAATCTGAACAAAAAATCTTCATATATTAATCAGGGGAATATCTGACACCCTTGCTCAACAGTACATTTTAAAATCTGAACAAAAATCTTCATATATTAAGAATATCTGAAAAGGACAGAAGAAAATAATTCACAAAGCTTATTTACAGAGGTAGCTACTGCACTAAGACTCCCACCTGTACTCTAATTGCTACATCACAGTATTTCAAGAACACACAGGCTGAATAAACTGAACTGTTCTTACTGGTCTCCTTCTGGGTTTTCCCAGAATGTCTTTTCTTCTGTGTGTGCCTCTTAGGCTGTAAGCTCTTTAGAGCAGGGACCATCTGTGTCTTTTCTTGTACTTATTAGATCATAAATTACCAATTGCTCTGAGCTAGAGTCCCATCCAGGATTGACACTTTCTGCTTACTTGAGAACTCAGCTAGTTTCTCAGTTCCAGAGATGTTTGGAAGGCTGCCCCTTTCATGACAGAGTGGAATGAAAGTTTGCATGGAAAGGTTATAAAATACATCAACTTCAGAGATTTCTCACTGCCCATAGGGAGTACTACCCACTTACATATCCATCTGGGACTCTTCTCTTGGGCATGGTACTACAAAGAGGGCAATAGCAGGCTATTCCCAAAATCAGTTCATTTCTAACAAAACCAGAATTGTTTTGTTCTTTAAAAAAAAAAAAAAATTAGCTGCAACTATTTGGCAAATTTGGCAATAATTTAATGGCCCTTTTCCTCACCTCCCTGCAAATGGATTTGGAGGTAAATGTATTATTTGCTGAAAAAAATTGTGCTGCTCTCATGAAGAAGCACTGAGCAAAGAACAGCTGTGAAACATTTTTGAAAAGGGCATTTGTAACCTGGAGCATGTTTCCTGACAAACATTTTAGAAATGTTAGAATTATTCTGTACAGTAAAACATTAAATACATTAAATCCCTCCTGTTCAGATACAAACCGTCTCCTTTGACTGTTGAAATGAAAAAATGTGAGTCTAAGTATTTTCTATCCTCCTCCCAAAGCAAGGAAGAAAAGCGTTTACATTAAATTTATATTCTTAACAATATATTATGTATCTGACTCATTGTTCACCTGAAACCTGTTTTCCAAAACTCAGATAATGAAGGCATTGTTGTTTCACACACATTTTTAAAAATATCTTTAGAGTTGATCAAAGTTTATGGTGTTACATGAATCTGAAATCCAATTGCTTTTGTTATCCACCACTGCACAGAGTAAAGCTAACTTGGTCTCCATTTCATCAGTCACTTCATAAACTCTTCTGTCTTCAAAATTGAAATGGCTTTTTCAGTTCTCTTCCTCCTCTGAGTCACTGGTGTAATTTCTCATTGTCTGGGCCTTCCGTGATCTGTCAGTGCTCCCAACCTTTTCCCAGTTAAAGACAAGACAGTACAAGTGACTTTTAATATAACTAACATGGTATTGTATAGTGATGTTGTAGAATGGTCTCAGCCAGGGTCTGAGATTAAGAATTTCTGAGTTCTGTTCCCCGCTATACCATAGCCTGGCTATATATTCCCTTGGACTTCTCTGTGCCTCGGTTTAAACACCTTTAAAATGGGACTTGTGATTCTTACCTATAGCACAGGAAGGTTGTGAGGCTCATATAATAAGTGTTTGTATAGCAGTTTGAGGTCTGTGGATGAAAGACCAGCATTTGCAGAAGGCAGCAGGTTATGATCTGCAGACAAAGAACTGTTGCCCCAGCCTCTGAAGTAATTATAAAATGCATGATTCCAAATTCACCCCAGAGGCCACAGTGTTCCATTAGGGAATTGACTTTAGGTCAGAAGTGCTCTTAAAGATCAAAGACTTAAAATTCAGACTTAAAGGGAACAGGGGCAGTCCCTTAACATATGCAATAAGAAGAAATGCATTATCTCTAAAAATTCTTGTGAAAAGTGGTTTGAGAAAAGTTACTGCCTCCAAATAGATCTCTTTAAAAAATAAAACTGGGACTTTTTCATTGAAAAAAATAAAAGTTTCATACTTTTCTACAAATAGATCTCTTTAAAAAATAAAACTGGGATTTTTTTCATTGAAAAAAATAAAAATTTCATACTTTGCTGTTAAGTGATTGAAGTGATTTGTTAAATACGTTGAGTAGCTGATTCCATGTGTACCAGAAGCATCCAAACTTTGCGTGCCTAAAAGCCCCACTGGCAACTTATCTGAGCCCAAAGGCTCTGCCTAATTTGGATGAAATAAAATACTTCTGCCTCCATATTTAATAGAGATGCACCCTGCAAAAACTTGGTACCAGCATGCACTGCTGCATCAGCATCTGAATAATTATAACAGGCCACATTGCAATATTATAGATTAGGGCAGCTGGAGGCTGTGACATTTAGCTGGGGAGGCCAAACCTCAGCCACCTTGGAGAATGCCGCAGTCCAGCTTTTAAACATCCAAAATGTAAGCCTCGATAGTTTGTTTTGTTTACAATGAATGTTTGTTTCCACAACAACAGTTACATGAGGCGACACTATCACGCAGTAAGTGGCATAGCATTCCCCTGATGCTGTGTGCAGTTATTTTGCTTTTATTGTAGCAGCTGCTTTACAAGTCAGTTAGGGGCTGGCAAATTTGCATCAGTCTAAGCATTTGTACTGAGCACCCCCCTGGTTAAATTAATGCCACAGTTGCATCTTAAACCCTAATCTTAACTCACTTACTTTTGCTGTCTCTCTCTAACCCATACACTTCACAAATATACTGGACTGTTTAACAGCACCTCGCCAGGAGCAGTCATTTTGGTTTTTGGAATGACTTCCTCTTCCACAGTCTCTGCAGCTCTCTGGAGAAGGTAAGGAAAAAAAATATCAGGGAAAACTTCTCTTATTGCCAAGTATCCACTCTTGGGCTATGTCTAGACTGCAAGCCTCTTTCGAAAGAGAGCGTCTAGGCTGCACGTTGAACTTTCGAAAAAGCGGCTTGCTTTTTCGAAAGAAAGCATCCAGTGAGTCTGGATGCTCTCTTTCGAAGAAGCCCTATTTACATTCAAGAACGCCTTCTTTCGAAAGAGGAACTTTCGAAAGAAGGCGTTCTTCCTCGTAAATGGAGGTTTACCGCCATCGAAAGAAAAGCCGCGTTCTTTCGATTTAATTTCGAAAGAACGCGGCTGCAGTCTAGATGCAGGTGAGGTTTTTTCGAAAAAAGGCTACTTTTTTCGAAAAAAACCCTGAGTCTGGACACAGCCTTGGAGAACTGTCTGACTTACAGCCCTGTAGAAAAGCCATCTCTAGAGCCCTGTGCAGCTACAAAAAGGTATCCACATCAGATCCGAATCCACAAAAATCAAGTCTGTACGTGGGTGTGTGTGGTGGGGGGGCAATGGGGGAATATAGGATCTGGAAGGCAGGGAAGCAGCCTCATAGGCTATGAGCTGCAGACAACTGCTTCCCTGCCTTTGAGATCCTATATTTAGTGCCCTGCTTGGAAACAAAATTTGTATCTGCATCCCATCTGCAAAAATGGATTTGCAGGGCTCTAGTCATCTGCTGTGTTCATACAAATGTCTCCAGGGGAACTTCTACAAACTTCTACTGCTGAAATGAATGCAGTTGTACTCGGTCATGAACCCTCACCCAGTGGTTATTTCCATTGTCACACCTTTTGAAGAGGGAAATTGTGGCTGCACCAATACAATGAAGAGAATTTTACTTAAAACAAGGGATGAAACTGAAGATGCTACTTGGGCAATTGCTCGATTCATCAAACAGGTGCTCAGAGTTCAGCATTTACCAAATGGCAACCACCAGCCCTCTTCCAATCAGCTCCTAGTTACAGCTCTCTCCCAGGGCTGTTTTAACCCTTTATACTCCAGTGCGGGGCAACTGCCCCATTACAGTACATAGCTTGTATTGCAGAGAGGAACCTCTGATGGCTTCTATAAGGTTTTGTTTCTCAACATTTATGTAAAGTTCTGAAGAGAGTTTCCCTGAAACACTTGTCTCCAGGGGTCTGGTTCTCCTGCTGCAAGATATGCGTAACTCCATGGGCCCCAGTGGGAACTACTACTCTCCCACACTAGCAGCCTAAAGCTTTGGGACAGTTAGTAACTCAGAAAAGAAAGATCTTTTAAGTAATTTACCAAAGAGAGTTACACCTCATACCTGATCAACAGGCACCTCCATCTTTGTATATTCATCCTCCCCTACTTCCTGGGCACCTCGCATCTCCCTCCTCTGCTCTTTCACTTTATAGACACTTCCATCTTCTGTGAGGAGAAGAAAGCTCTTAAGAGGATATCAACGACACTAACTGTGGCGTAGTGCAGCTCAAGCTATAGGAATGGCTAGGTCCGGTCTACTGTTTTTGGGGGTGCCTTGCACTCCATCTACCATATTGCTGGCAGAGGAAATAGCATTAATAAGCTGTTAACCACATTTAGCGCTTGAAACTTTTATATGGCAAATCAAGTGAACGCTGGGTCAGTTCATTAGCCAGGGGATAGAAATGGTGTCCTTGGCCTCTGTTTGTCAGAGGCTGGAGAGGGATGGCAGGAGACAAATCGCTTGATCACTGGCTTCGGTCAACCCTCTCTGGGGTACCTGGTGCTGGCCACTGTCGGTAGACAGGCTACTGGGCTAGATGGACCTTTGGTCTGACCCAGTACAGCCGTTCTTATGTTCATTAAGGAGATGCCAGCAA